GTGAGTGGATTGCCTGAACCCGCGGGTTCGAGACCTACCTGGGCAACTTGGTGAGACCTCATCTCTATAATAAATCAAAATGTTAACCGGGTGTGGTAGCGCACGCTTGTAGTTCCAACTACTTGGAAGGCTGAGGCGGAAGGATCGCTGGAGCACAGCAGGTCGAGGCTGCAGTGGCTGGGAGCGGCCACTGCACTCCAGTCTGGGCAAGAGTGAGACTCCAACTCAAAAAAAAAAAAATTGTATCTCTTGGTTATTTATATCATGACTAGGGCCAGACAGCTTGATGTATACTTATTTGCTGAGTTTGTTCATCGGTTCATTTGTTCAATTGTTTAACAATTTATATAAGTAAACACCATGTATCTGGCACTTTATTACAATTCTATCTGGCATTTTTTAAATCATTTCAGGACTGATGAGGAATACTTAATATCTCAGGATTGTGTTAAATTGGGATCGTGTGTTTCCAAAAAGAGAAGCACCTGGCTCATTGTGTTGTTCCACTCTGAGGCAACTCTGGCAATCTTTGGGCCAAGATCCCCATCCTTAAGCTTGTAAGGATCATGATACTTGTGAAACTGTTTCAGGTGTTTTGTGACACTCCATAACTGCTGCTTGCTGCCTGCCTATCCTAATTCTCTAAATGATCAGGAACTCTTCAATGAACTTCTAGTCTTGGTTAAGGCACCTTGAAATGTCACCACTCCCTCCCCACCCTCATCACTCATTGTACCAAATTTATAATCACTTAAAACCATGGGAGCTACTTATGTGAGAGATGCAAATTGTGTGTTTTTTTTCTGATATTGTCATGGACGTAGCCTGTTATCTGTACTCCACTTTCCCACTTTAAAGTTGTTATGTTAAAATTATATGTGAAACTATCAAAATTGCTACTTTGAATGCTATATAAATTGACAAATAGATTGCCTCCTGTTGTACAAATAAGGAAACCCATTACTCTTTTCATGTGGAGAAGTGCTGCTGCCAGCCTTTTTGCTATCAACAGAGCTTCCAAACTTCTTCTAACAGTAATAGCTTGTGTTGTACCCTGGTACAAAGAAACAACTTACCTTAGGTGTTCTAAAAAGTCAGTAGCGAAGATATAAGTGAAATGTTGGTATGTAGCTTTAAGACAGAACAAAATTACATTTTGCTTTCCCTTTGTCTCTCCCTCTTTATTTGAAAGGAGTGGTGAATGTGTTGCTAACAACTCCGCTGTGGGTGGTAAACACCAGACTGAAGCTGCAAGGGGCAAAGTTTAGGAATGAAGACATTGTACCAACCAACTACAAAGGTATTATTGGTAAGTGTTTCTGTTCCTATTTAAGGGTTTTCTTTCCTTTTTGTATCTGGAATCTGTTACCATGATAACACTATAAAACAGCAACCTCAAATCTCAGCATCCATTGGTAGAATTTGTTTAGCTTGTGTGTCTGTGGATTGACAGGGATTTGATCCATCTAGGCTAATCATAGCCTGAGAATCTCAGCTCTATGTGTCTCTCATCCTCTTTCTGAGACTAGTATGAACATATTCCTCTCATGGTGATGGCAGAAGCACAAAAGGACACACCAAATTGTATAAGCATATTTCTTTCTTTTTTTTTTTTTTTCGAGTTGAAGTCTCAGTCTGTCACCCAGACTGGAGGGCAGTGGCCGCTCCCGGCCACCGCAGCCTCCACCTGCTGAGCTCCGGCGATCCTTTCGCCTCAGCCTTCCGATTAGCCAGAATTACAGGCACGCGCTACCACACCCCGCTGATTTTTTTGATTTATTGTAGAGATGAAGTCTCGCCAAGTTGCCCAGGCGGGTCTCAAACCCACAGGCTCAAGCAATTCACTCACCTCAGCCTCCCAAAGGCGCGGGATTACAGGCTGAGCCACCGAGCCCGGCGTACAAGCATATTTCATGCCCCTATTGGTACCTGGCCTGCTGATATCCCAATGGCTAAGAATATCATATGGCCAAGCCCAAGACAAGGAGTAGAAAAGTATGCTCCTCCCAAGAAGGATAAGGGGGAAGAGATGAATATTTTTGAAGAATAACCTATACTTTTTTCCTAGTGTTGTCTTTGGATAAAAATACCAGATTGGTATTTCATATCTTTGAGTATTTATTTTTGTTTTTGTTGTTATTGTTTTTGAGTTGGAGTCTCACTCTGTCATCCAGACTGGAGTGCAGTGGTCGCTCCCGGCCACCACAGCCTCGACCTGCTGGGCTCCAATGATCCTTCTGCCTCAGCCTTCCAAGTAGCTGGAACTACAGGCGCACGCTACCATGGCCGGCTCATTTTTTATTTATTGTAGAGATGAGGTCTCGCCAAGTTGCCCAGGCGGGTCTCGAACCCACAGGCTCAGGCAATCCACTCACCTTAGCCTCCCAAGGCGTGAGATTACAGGCTGAGCCACTGAGCCCGGCTGTTTTTGTTTTTTTTATGAGTTGAATCTCACTCTGTCATCCAGGCTGGAGTGCAGTGGCACACTCATGACCACCGCAGTCTCAACCTGCTGGGCTCAGGTGATCCTTCCGCCTCAGCCTTCCAAGTAGCTGGAACCACAGGCATACGCCACAGGCATACGCTGATTTTTTTATTTATTGTAGAGACGAGGTCTCACCATGTTGCTCAGGTTGGCCTCGAACCCCTGGGCTCAGGTAATCCTCTCACCTCTGCCTCCCAAAATACTGGGATTATAGGCATGAGCCAGTGAGCCCGGCTCAAGCATCTGCTTTTTAATAATATCACATTACCAGGTGCCCCTTTTCCATGTATCAGTCTTTGTAATGAAAACAAGGGTTTTCTTTTTTTTTTTTATCTGTAGTCTCACTCTGTCACCCAGACTGGAGTGCAGTGGCATGCTCCTGACCACCATAGCCTTGACCTGCTGGACTCCAGGGATCCTTCTGCTTCAGCCTTCCATGTAGTCAGAACTACAGGCACGCTACCATGCCTGGCTATCTTTTTTTTTTTTTTTTTGAGTTGGTGTCTAATTCTGCTGTCCAGGCTGGAGTGCAGAGGCACACACACAGCCACCGCAGCCTCAAACTGCTGGACTCAGATGATCCTTGCTCTTCAGCCTTCCAAGTAGCTGGAACTACAGGCATGCACCACCACACCTAGCTAATTTTTTGATTTATTGTAGAGATGAGGTCTTACTAAGTTTGGGCAATCCTCTTGCCTCGGCTTCCCAAAGTGCTATGTTTACAGGCTTGAGCCACTGTGCCCAGCCAACAGTGGTTTTCTTTTAAGTCAAATCCTGTATAATGGACTCCAGGAAATTTTCTTTTGTTGTACTGGACTTTGTTGTGAAGCATGTGGGCTCAGTTCACAGTTCTGTTCTGGGTGATGGTGATAATTACTTAGGAAAATTTGACATTCTAACCCCAGATTGACAAGAAGAGTTACCTCTGATTGACATTGGTCTCTCAATAACTTGGTGACTATCAGTGACTGATTCTTATCAAAAAGTAGTCAACTGATAAACTTGCCCCCAAAATATTTTATATCAATATAGAGAACCAGCCGGGCTTGGTGGCTCATCCTGTAATCCCGCGCCTTGGGAGGCCGAGGTGAGTGAATTGCCTGAGCCCGCGGGTTCGA